AAGAGTTGACCCTCCTGCCAGAGCGCATTGTCCTTGACCCATAGGTACTCCAAGATGAGAGCATTTGGTGCAGCAGCACGCAGGAAGATTTCCAAGAGCAGCACCACATACACCAAGTAGTTGACAAGGAGATTGCCAACCTCTGCATGCAGGAAGCGTACATTGTGCTTCTGATATCCCGTCTGCTGTTGACCCTTATGGTAGGTTGTGTGGATCATGACACGACCATCCTTGATGCCAATGTTGCGGTGGGCTTCTGTGTTGCGCCAGCGTACAGAGAAGAATTCTGGTTCTCGCAATGGCTGCCCAGATGACATGTGAACCAGCACAGCAAGCGCTTGGAGAAATTGGTATGCCTGCTCTTGGTAGAGCTTGCGTGACTTGCGGTTGAAGATGAAGGGCACTGCTGACTTGTCGAGGAACAATGCCTGCAGTGCTGGTGTGCGCTGGATACTCTGCACCAGAGCTAAGTCAGCGCTGCCTAGGAGGACCTTGTTTGCCTCGTGCTTGGCAAAGAACCAGCCTGCATTCTGACGGTCAAGATCATCCTTCAGCATAGTTGCCTGCACTAGCGGAGGACCATGCGAGCCAAAGAGCAGCTCAACAGATAGAAGATGCTGTGCTCAAGCCATCTGGTGCTCGAAGAGTGCCGTTACCTGATCCAGCTTGAGGTGAATGCCCTTAAATGTGATGCCAAGCTTGTCTTCATCCCAATGAGCCTGCTGCGGGCCAACTTCCTGTTTGGCTACCTCAAAGCAAAGCGAACGCCAGCAAAGCACCTCACCAAATGCAGTCTCCTTGTCCGGCTGCAGGAAGCAAGAAACAGTGCTGTTGATGGACTCAAGCACCTGCACGCTGTCCAGATCTCCTGAAACTGCATCTCGGAAGATTAGCAGCTGTGCAACCCAGATCATTCCTGAAAGGATGCTGCTGAAGGATCCTGCTGACTGCCAGGCACCGCTCTTGGCCTCCACAGCATGCATAGCTGCAAAACTGAGGACCGGAGAAGAAAAAGGCTCTGTGCCAGTGGTGTACATGATGAGCGCTGCAGAAAAGACTGCAAGTGCATCTTTGAGAGCATTGTGAATGACGGTGCCAGTGCTTTCTTCCAAGACTTGCTCCCAGCTTGCTTTTTGATCCGGCGTTGGAGTGACAACCGCCTCTGGAGTCTGGTGATTGCCATTGTGCATGTTGTGCAAGCTGAAATGCTGCTTCTCTTGATGAACAATCCGATAGTAGTATACAATTAGTTGCTTCCAGTGCCTAAAGTATCTGTCAAGTGTCTCGGGAGCTTTGATGGGATCCCAAGCCCGATGCTTAGTAACAGGCATGTCAGCTGTGCGGAAGCGGCTCAAAGCAAGCCTGCGCTGCCACGTCAGCTTGGTTGACCAGTCCTTGGTGCACCATTGATGCGTCTCCTGCAGCATGTCTTCAAGAGCATCAAGGATACAGACCAGCTGCTTTTCTTTGGGCGCAGGCAAAGCAAAGGATGCTTGCATTTCTTGCTTGTCCAATCCACGCACGTGTCCCTCAATGCCTGTGGTCTGAAGCCAAGGCACCACAGTGGAGTGCTGCACCCCAAACCCTTGGATACGCTGCATCTGATCTCGAGCATCCTGCTTTGCCTGATGATGATCAGCCTCCAGTGCTGCAAAGAAAGCCTCCTCTGCCAAGGGAACATGCTGCGACTGCAACACATCCGGCGTGTCAGCAGTATCAACAGCAAACCAGCGCACATTCTTGTTGTCGGAGTAAAATGTCTGAATGGTGCAGGGCTTCCAGAGTGGCGTGTCTCCTGGGGGAAGTCTTGCGCTGTGCACCTGATCCATGTGCTGCTTAGCTTTATCAACGGTTGCAAATGCTCGGGTGCAGCCATGTATGCACTGCCAGCCTTGCTGCTCGGCAAGCTCCTTGACACGCTTGGTGGGCCAGGTGTTGCGTGGCTCACCCAGGCTTGGCACCTCGTGCTCAAGAAGTAGACCAAGCAGGCCAGTGAGCTCCTGGCCCTTGATGCCGTGCTTGTATAAGTGACGTTTGATGCCAACCTCACCGGGATGAATGCAGCTTTTGCACTCGAGGCAGGCAATGACCTGCCACTCTACAAGGTAGGGGTACTGCAGCGCAAGCGCATGAACATGCTGGTTGGCAACAGAGAGGGATGTGATGTCTTGGCTAGCCGACATGGTGACTGGTTGATGTTGGATGAGTTACAGTGTTTGTGCTGTGTGATCGAGTGAGGAATTTGGCAGTAAGCTGAGTCTGTTCAATGGAGTGTTTGCTATGATCGAGGATGATTGACTCACCAAGGGGGGTCTTTATACCGCATCCATGCCATTTGCAGGCTTCAACATAACAAGACCAGCTCATGTTGCATTGTTGTCAAAGCAGCTGTGCACACCACATATCAGGAACACCAGGCACCAAAAGTGTCGAAGTAGACGTTCATCGAGGAGCAGTGGTGCAGGCACAGGCACGCAAAGGTACAGGTCCAACAAGTGCATCTTGACTGTGTGTGGCACGGTGTAGAGCAGTGGCAACAGGAACCCAACTGCTGGGTAGAGATTGAAGGCTGAAATGAGGCAGACAGGCGTGTGCGCAGAGTCTACTTTGAGTGATGTGAGCGGTGGTGATGGGTGTGTGGTGGTGGTTGGAAGAGGAGGTACTTGAGGCAGGTTGCACCTTCTCTGCTGGTGAACTCACGACGCGTCAAGCCCATGTCAAAGCAGACACGCTGTGCGGGATCAACGCGTAAATTGGGTGTGTACAAGGTGCACATCCCAGCGTGAATGCGTAAGTTGGCTGTGTCAAGCATGTGGGCCCCAGCGTGAACACGTAAATTGGCCGTGTACAATGTGTGCATCCTGGCGTAAATGCGTAAACTGGCTGTGTACAATGTGCGCATCCTGGCATGAATGGGCAACTTGTCTGTGTAGAGCCCCAGCATTGACGCGTAAATTGGCTGTGTACAATGTGCGCATTGTGGCGTAAATGCATAAGTTGGCTGTGTAGAGCATGCGCGCCCCGGCGTCAACGTGTAAATTGGCTGTGTAGAGCCCCAGCATTGACGCGTAAATTGGCTGTGTACAATGTGCGCATCCTGGCGTAAATGGGTAACTTGGCTGTGTAGAGCATGCGCGCCCCAGCAAACTATCAACGCATGAACAGACTCTGTACAGCATGCACACCCTAGCATCAACGTGTAAACTGGTTGTGTAGAGCATGCACACCCCAAAATTAACGCATAAGATGACTGTGCATAGTGTACGCATCCCAGCATCAACAAGTAAAACTGATTGCGTACAGTGGAGATACCATAGCTTACTGTTGTACAACGGGTGTTTGAGCTACTGTAGGGGTGTATGGTATGCGTACAGAGCAACCATGGGTGAGTACAGTGACTACAGAGCATTGATGTAGTATGGCAGTGGATTTGAGCTACCGTAGGTGGGCACGACAGCCATTTGAGCTGCCACAGGCTTGCATATCTGTATGGCGCACATGCCTGTGTATGGCAGAGGTCTCTGTGTGTTGCGCGTCTGTATGACGCACGCATCTGTATGGCAGGCGCGTGTCCGTATGCCGCAAACATCTGTATGACAGGCGCGCTTCTGTATGGCGTGTATGGCACACATTTGTCTGCGTACTTTTACGGCGTAAAAGTGAAAGTCTGTGGATCTGCAGACCTCCGGATGCGTTTTTTGGCAGGGGATTTGGCTGCGCATCCGCTTTTGCGCCGTAAAACTCTCAGGGCATATATATCGGATCAAAGGAGGGAATATTAACACAAATGGAGGCTCATAACGTGATGAAGCGCAAGGAGAGTCACGAGTAGATGGTATTACTAATCAGAGAGAGTGAGACCAAAGGGTGGTGTTTACATATGCAAGGAGCTGCAGGGAAACGCGCGAGTCAGTCACATGTTCAACACTAAAGAATGCTCAAGCTCCGGCCCGTTCATTGAAAGTCGAATTTTCTCGCACCCTTGAGGCTACGAATCATTTTCACCTCCAGCCTACTCAGACGTTCCGACGCAGCACGGCTCAACGACCGTCGAATTCTGACCCTCAAGCTGAATTTGACCATTCTCGACTGCACTTGCGACTTTTGCGAGTCGGAACAAGACGTATGTGCAATTGGTGAATGCCACAAAGGCGGGAGATGAAATGCAATGGACCAAGAGATTTGCCAAGCCGCAATCAAAAAGGGAAAGAATGTGTGTACAAGGGGTATGCGACCTATATCATCATCGAGAGAATCACCCATGAAGTCGCAAAGACGCTTCTGGCTGTAGTGCGTCGCCAAATGTAGATCAGGCGCACGTGCGCATCGGATGCGCTCGATTTGCCAGTCGTGAGTGTTGACATGTCATTCACGGCTTCTAGCACAACAGCATCATCGGATACTACCAAGCTTCGAACCAGCTGGCAACTCCTAGGTAGCCTTTGCGAGCTTGCCGTCCAGCCCAAGGTGCGGCTTGGATCGCGCCATACGTCACTGCGGTCGATCCCACAGCAACACCGCAAGTGATGGCGAGCGGTACAGCCGCTACGACGCCACCGCTGGTCACGAGCAACACCTTACCGAGACTGGAGCCCCACCATGCCGCTCCGACTGCCCAGCTGGCGTAAGCCGTGGCTCCTCCACCAACAAGACCGCCCCCGAGTGAGCCTAGTAGCGGAGCTTGGCTATCCTGGTACGCTATCTCAGCTTCGACCTTGACAGTGCGATCGCCCACTGTTCCCAGAGATGACTTCAATACTGCCGGCTTCGTGTCGTCTGTCCATCTGTCAAGTAAAAGCTTCACGTTGTGGTGGCCCCTCTCTCGGGCTTGCTCGTTAAATTCTGGTCGAGCTATGACCGTACATTGTACGAGCCAATCTTTCGGAATTTTAAGGCATTCGCTGATGGCCTGACGCCTTGGTTCGACCCATTCTCTGTCAGGCGGGCCCTCGTGGTTGTAGATGACGCGCAACGAAATGTCGTCCCCACAGATTTGCCGTATAGCATCGAATCTGTTCTTCGACTCATCCTGAATGGTAGACTCTCGACGAACGTAGTAGATCGCACCCACAGACTTGCGGATCTGTTTCAGTAAGCTTTCTGCATTGTTTTGCATAAAGTCGTTCGCATGAGGGCCGGCCTGCTCAAGGCCCCCGAGTCCAGGAAGATCTACGAGGAAAATTCGACGCGTCGTGCCCTTGTCGTCCACGCAAACGTCCTTCATCCAAGCTACTATCGGAAAGCGGGTAGTGTTAATACCATCCGCAATCAGAAGCTGCCTGTCCGTGTGTGGCAGTTCCAAAAGCGTCTTGAAGATGCTTGTTTTGCCCTGGCCAGAATCGCCCACCAGCGCAAACACCTTGTCAGAAGCTGTCAACATATCGAAAAAGCGCTGCCAATCCACATTCGCGTTGGAACATTTGTATGGTTTCCGTATGAGCATGTCTTCACGCTTCTCTGGAAGTCGCAGCAGGTCGGGATGGCGATTGGCCGGCGGGATCGCAACGTGCGGAAGAGGGGTCGTGTGCACCGCGGCTGGAGCGGGCTGCGGCGATGGGTCTGTATGTGCCCGAAAAGATGCCTTGTGCTGGCTGCCAAGCACGGAGACAAACCAGCCAGAGTAGGTAGGCCACTGGGTACGACAGCTCAGCGACAGCTGTCCATCGTCGACAAGCGTCTGCATTGACTCCAGCCGATGCTGCATGCTATGTTCGCGAAGCGCGTCGAGCCCAAAGAAGACCGCTCGAGCGCCGAAGTGCCAGGCCGCCTTCACCCCATTGCAAATTGTGCCAAAGTAGATGCGGCTGCCAGACCCACAGCAATACAGTATCTCTGCGCACGGCGGGTTCAGGGTGTTGACGATGTTTGCCGGAGCGTTCAGTGTCTTGAGACCAGGGATACTGGGAGGCATCTGCTTTGCTTGCCGAAAACTTTTGGGTTGACCGGGCGAGTCGAAAGTGACGCCTTTGAGATTGTCACCATCTTGAGATCGACTACGAAAGAAGTGCAAGAGATACTCGGCGTGACTTGCTCCTAGTGAATGGCCAACAAACGTGACGTCATCCCGGCTGAGATCGATCTGCTTCTCCTTCAGAAATCGTTGCACTTCTTGACAGAGGGCATCTGCATCATCTTGCCACGTGCTGGTCCACCTGGCGTGCATGGTATCAGAGACTAGACGCTTGTCTTGAAAGCTGTCCAAGAGGTGGGAAGTCCCCCTAACGACGACAGCCCACGAAGTTTTGCGCGTGTCGTCTTGCCAGAGCCAGATCGTTCCTTCCCAATAGCTGGCGACGAGTTTCCAGGAGCCGAAAAGATCACCGTTGCGTCCGAGTTCCGCATTTCCATAGGAATTTATACAGAGACCCAGCATTGTGTGTAGTGTCTCCACCTCTTTAGCTGTTGCGGCGCGAGTGTCGGCCTTGTGCCGTGGTAGTGTGCGAACCACCCATGCGAGCACTAGCGCGACCAGCATAAAATCGCGCACATAATCCTTGAGGACGAAATCGAAGAGCATCTTGACTGACGGAGTGTCGTGCTAGTTGCGAGTGAGGTGGAGAGGGGATGGGGCAGACTCTAAGTAGAGCTGGAGAGCGGAGGGAGGCGAGATGGCGACGACGAGGGAGCAAGGAGAAGGGAGGGGGGAAGGGATGGGTTAGGGAGGGGGAGGGATGGAAGTGCGATGCTGGATGGGTGAGGTGTTGTGTCTGGTGCGATATAGGCTTGAGGAGTGTGATGAGAGGTTGCGAGATGAGGAGAGGTTGCGAGATGAGGAGAGGGGGGGGGGGGGGAGTTTTTTACGAAG